TGTGATTCCATCTCGGTCAATCACCGTCAATTATGACTTCACACCTCACAACAACTACGGGCTCCGAACTGGCTGCTCTTCCAGCCGCAATTAGAATTGTTATGCAAGAATTCCCTGCTAAGTGGGCTATCTTTTGTGACTCCAAGGCGGCCCTTCAGTGTATGCGAAGTCTACGAGGCGGGAACTACTATTAGATGGTATTTCAAATCAATAGAATCTGTCATCGCGCCACTAACAAAAGACTTGACATTATCTTCTAATGGCGGCTTGGTCACTGTGAGATTATTGGTAACTAACTAAGCCGACAAGGCTGCTCGTTGTGCCGACGACAGAGCACCCACACTGCGCATACACTGTCACGAGTTGGTGCCACAAGACAACTTCGCTGCATTGCGCATAATACTACACTTGTGCATTAGAATCTTCAACTGAACTGCACTCGACGCCAACAGAACCTCGCTTCATTACTCGAATTAAAGCTATAATCAAACGCTTCGCGACGGGACGCTACAATACTGTGTCAGTTGTGCGTCAGCTTTGCTTTTACCACTTTATTAGGTTATCTATCACGTTGGTATGGCTGATTTCTACAACTGTGTTAGATGCTATTGTGTGCACGTGCGCACGCGATCACACTGAGAAAGCCGCGCATTAAAAAAAGGGCTAAACGTCACGCGGCGCGGTATATTCATTGCCCCTGCCACCCCTCCCTGCTTAGCTTCCAACGCTCTCCTTGGAACGAGAGAAGAGATAGTGAAATTGCAGCATGCGATAAACCTTTGTAACTTCACTCACAGTGAATAGATTCTTGAAATTTTTGCACGGTTGAATTTGTGAGGAAATAGGCTGTTCTAGTGAATTCATCTCACGGTTACTCAAAAAAGTGTTTCAGGGTTCCTTTAACGCGTTTTGTTCGACAGGTGTCAAGACGAAAACGAGCCCATTCGGTGATTTGTAGGCACATTTGGGAAGCCTTAAACTACATCAAAACAGGCCGGGATAGTGCAGCCATCGCCGCTAAAAGCACACAAAAACTTCAAAACAGCTGTAAAAATTCACAACTATGTCCATCTAGCGGAAAACTTATCGTGCCTTTCCAGAGGCGTCGATCAAGAAAACATCAAACGCTAGATACGGCGCTGCTACCTGTGAAGCATTGTGAGACGCTTACGGCCTCCGAGATGGCGAGCGTGCGGCGTGTATCTTGGAGGCCACGCGACTCTTGCTTTAGATCAAAAAGCTGTATGCATAGAGTTTCCTAAAATTAACTAGAGGGCACTCTGGCGCTGAGATAGTTCAGCGACCATGGAAATGATTGGAAGTACACACATTTGCCTACTCTTCGTACTTGCGGGCGGTGAATTGTACTTGCGGCTTCGTTTATAGCTGTGTTTCAGTTTTGTTTTGAAAGAAAGATTGAACCCTTTTGAACTTCGTGAGCCAATTTAGAAAGTAAGTCTAAAAAAATAAGATGGTGAAGCGCTACCGCTGAACATTTGGAAATACATGTTTCGTAAGAAAACAGCTCCAAGCCACACGAACACACACGGAGCCAAAAGCAAGCCTGAAGGACGAATATTAGACAAATGTGTTACTACCCATCATTCCCATGCTCGCTGAAGCGCCGTGCGTTGCAGCTCCCATAGACACTAGCGCCAGAGTTTCCTCTAATGTATATAGGAAACTCTATAGCTGTGTGTTCTATTCGCACGCACTCTGGTACGATCTACTCTGTGTGTGTGTGTGTGTGTGTGTGTGTTCACGCATGCGTATGTATGTAACAAAACACATTATTAAGTGTGCACTTACTACTTCAAGGGTGCACTAATGGCTGGATTTGGCTATCGCGTTCAAGTCTTGAAGGGGCTGCTTAAAGGTCTTCCAATCTCGTTTGTTTTTGTTTATCTTAGCCTTAGAGATTATGACAGATACCACCTCGGGGAGAATAGCCAATATTTTGTAGTTTATATTCAGTAGATAATTGACTTTGTCATCTCTCGTCTCTCTGCTGCTTCGCGGGCCAGGCGGACTGCCCATAATGTTGTTGGAGTCTGGAGCTTGTAATAGCACCCTCCCATTTTTAAGGCGTGAAGACTTCCCCCCAGCGTAACGTGGGGCGCTTCCCTGTTCCGACGCGGGAGCGGCGCGTTCCGAAGGACTGAACTAAAGTGCGTTTCGAAGGACCTAATGAAGTTCAGTCATTCATCTACTCATCCCTTTTTAACTCTTCGGAGAAGCGTGATACGCACTGCACGCTTGCAAGGTATTTTGTGCAACTTTTCAGTGCTGTGGCAGCTTGGGCTAGTTGGTATGGCACGACGATAGTTATGGGGCGAAAACAGAACGACGACAATGAGAAAAGAAGAACACGAAGGACACGAGCGCTCATGTCCTTTGTGTCCTTCTTGTCTCTGTGTCATCGTTTTGTTCTCGTGCTATAACTATCGTCATTTTCAGTGCTGTTAGTAATGGCGATGAAAAACTATGCCTGAAGGATTTTTAAGGGGGAGGGGGTAATATTGGAGCATTCAACGGCCAACTCATTAAGTAATTCGCATTGTGTGAAGCCTGGTTCTTTCTCGGCTTTGTAAAATGCCTTAATGCTCATATAGGGCAATTCCTTTCCCGGTATGAACCCTGCATAAGGTCATTTGGAAATGAGTTTTCGTGCACTGGCATGGTTATGTGGTGGTTACTGGGTCTGCACGCAAAAGACCCTGGTCAGAAACCCGTTTTGTCCTTGTTGCGTGTGTTTTTCTTGTTTTTTTATATAGTTTCGGGAGGTAGTTTTTACGTACACCGGCGGTGGCTACGGCGGACAACTACTGCACGCGCAACCTTTGTGATCTCACAACAGCATTTGATTTAAATAATCCTGGTTCCATAGCTTATGCATCATTGCATACATAAGCACAAACGTACCATTCCGAGCTTCCAGAAGTGTACTAAACTTTACGAATACTGGTAAGCTTGCGAACACAAGGCTTGTGCGCTAACACTAACTTTCTTTACCCTGGCTTTTGTGTGTCCATTTTTTCCTAGGATTATACAATTATAATGCTTCGATGTCACCTAGGTGATCACCAGCCAAGCACATGCTTGGACAACGTCCCAACGGTTTGCTTTAGTCCCTTCCTTTCTGAGTACTATGGTAAACAATGCAGTAGCTTTTGTTAAGATTCTACTTTTAAGATCGTACTTTTTTCTTACTTTACCATTCTACGCTATGCTTCGGCCTTGAAAGTTAATAAATTGAATAAGTACTTTCCGCCTTCTGCGCTCAACAAACGCAACAGGCGCAGTCTAAGGGGACAACGATAAAATGTGGGCGGAAAATACAGAGGCGGGAATTCCTTTTCTTCGGGGCTCCTCTAAAGTGTTAAGACGCGGAAATTCTCGCAAAACCTGTAGAAGGGAAACTGTGGATGTTTTCTGCTATAAGAGTTTGCACTTGCATGGCAGGCCAAGCTAGAAGACACAATGCGTAAGTGCGTGCTCGAAATGAGAAAGAGCTTTTTTTTTCAGAGCGCTTAAGACGCGCCCGCACTCTTCTCCGCCACTCTGCACACGTGAAGACATGTTGGCTACGCGATAACAATGAGTGAAAAGAAAGAGTACGTAATCCCTTTCACTGCATAGTGCGCCGTTCCTTTTCTTTTTCTTTTCGGTTCACCCGCCCTTTGTGTGAGACGCGGCGCGGCGTCTGTGTTGTTCATACGACCTTCGAGTGGCTCCTGCTTCCTACAATGATATTCAAGTGAATTTTTCGAGTGCGCGTTCAGCTTTGTTTGTGTCGCATCAGTGAAAGTGCCAGGACTATTTTGATGCCAAAACCTGCTGCGTGAGTGGAATATTTTCACGTTTTGGAACGTCTTTTCTCCCGAGCCGGCCACCACCTGGGCTAAGCCTAACGAGGTAAGCCCACGCTGGCGCGACGCCAGCCGCGTCGCCGTTCCCGGGTGCCCTTTTCGCTCTTCTCAGGGCTTATTTTCCGAAAAAAATGGAATATCAGGTGGTGGGGGAGGACATAACCCCCGAAGAGGTGACAGAAGACCGACGTTGGCAGTCTGCAGGCGCCAGAAGAGTTGGCGCGCGCTCGGCAGGCGCTAATCCTAATGGTGGTACTCTCAACGAGACGAAGTCGACAACGGCCGAGGCCCCGCGAGGCCGCAACAGTGGCAATAACATCAAGGCTAGAATTATCCGCGCTGGCCGGATGACCCAGCTCCCCAGGGAGGATACGAAGATCGTGATTCGGCCCCGCGGAGGCCTCAATATTGTCAAGACCGGCTGCACCGTGGTGGCTGATGCAATCCTGGCAGCCGCAAGCATCTGCGCCGAAGATTTGCGGGGCGACACGCTATGCCCCAACGTGCAGCAGAATATTATGGTTGTCAGCACACCTAGAAGGGGAAATGCCAGCCACTACGTCAAAGTTCGGCAGATCGTCGCCATGGGCCGAACATACGAGGTCAGTGCCTACGAGCCTACGAGGCCGCCCCTCATTCCACGTGCAAGGGCGTGATCCGAGGTATTCCACTCGTAGACGGCCCGAATGATATTTACAACAAGATCGTAATAAAAGAAATCCGCTCGCCCTGGCAGCCAAGCGCATAGGCAGCACCGATACGGTAATCGTCGCCTTCGACGGTCACAGAGTCCCAAACTTTGTACGCTACGGCGCCACCCTTGTGCAATGTTCGCTTTATCGCAAGAAAATAGACATTCGCTACGCTTGTGGTCGGCTCGGTCACCGTGCTGATGTGTGTCCCAGCCCAGGCGACGTCGTATGTCGGGGCTGTGGGGCTTCAAATCCTGACGCACAACACAAGTGTACCCCCAAGTGCAGGCTGTGTGGTGGGCAACACCTCACGGCTGACAAGGACTGTAGGCAAAGATTCCAGATCCCGCATGTCGTGCGAAGAAGGCGCTGGGAAAAGTCTCGCGCCACCGATCAAGGCCAAGCCACGGCACCACTATCACCCCCCCCCCCCCCACGGATGGGCAGGACTTCCAGCAGTCACGTGGTTCCGGGGGCCGTTCCAGACGATGTTCTCGGTCCCGTTCCAGGGGCCGTTCCCGGTCCAGAAGCCGCTCCCGGTCCCGAGGAGGAGCCCGGCGCTGCAACTCTGGGAGCCACTCCAGGTCTCGATCCAGGTCTACCGGGCGTCAACAGCAGCCTAGCGGGGTGTCAGCGAGAAGCAAGAAGTCGGGCTCTATAACCTGGGCCGACACGGTCCGAGGAGGGCCAGCTGAGGTACTGTCGAGGTCACTCCCAGAGCATGCGGAGAGCGCGCGCGAGATTTCCCAGCTGAAACGCGAGATCACAGCGATGAAGGAAACCATAAACAGGCTTTTGTCCGAAATTGCTGAGATTAAGAACGCGAAAAACCCACCACCGCAACCCGCCGTCGCATGCGTCGCCGATACAATGCCCTTACCCATGGAGGTGCACAGCACTAAAGCCGGCGACAGCAGCAGTAAGGGTCAAAGTGCTCCCAAGAAAAGGGCCGTCACCTACGAACAGGGAAGTGTAAGAATTCGAGTCAGGTCTGAGCTTCGAGACACGCTATCCGCGCTCAGTGAAAGCATCAATAAGCTCGGGGAGAATTTCGCCCAACTGCAGATCACCCTGGCCGCGCAAAACGACCGAGTATCCAAGGTAGAGTCGTTTTTCAAAAGCGTAGTGAAACCAGCTCTGACCTCAACCGCCGTCGTACAACCCCAGCCCGTCGCTACAGGCCCCATCGTCCACGCTATTCTTAGCCAATCTGAGGGCAGCACCAGCCCACAAAAGTACCAAGATGGCCAAGCCAAGTGAAACGTTTCTTATTTGGCAATGGAACTGCAGGGGCTTCCCTAGAAAAAAGTCGTCCTTGCGGCAGTACAGTCGATGCTCTAGCGAAAAACCCCTCGTCATTCTGCTTCAAGAAACATTAACTCCAAACGTCACACTGACTGGTTACAAGCCCATCTCGCGTTATTCCGATGGCCGGGGCGTCTGCACCTTGGTCAGTAACAAGCTCACACACATCTCTCACAACCTCAAAATGGCCACCAGTAGCGCCGAATATGTCATGACTGAGATTCGGCCGCGCAGCTCGGACCGACGGCAGCGCTTCAGGGCTTTCATAAAGAAGGCCGTCAACTTGGCAGGTCCCAACCCCCTGATTGTGGCAGGCGATTTTAATGCTCCGCACCACACTTGGGGCTACCCGTACAATACCAGCAAGGGCGCGGAACTGTGCCAGAACGCGACGGACATGGACCTGACTCTAATCACCGACAAGGCCTTTCCAACTCGGTTGGGCACCTCATCCTGCAGAGACTCCACTCCCGACTTGACCTTCGTCAAGAATCTCCCCGATGTACAGTGGGCCAACTCAAACATTGACTTAGTTAGCGACCATTACGTCCTGGTGACGCAGTTCTTAATGGTCCAAAAGAGGGCACGGGAGTTTTCTTGGACAAACTGGGACCAGTTTCGCAAAGTCCGCAACGACCGACGCCTACCTGCAACCAGGCCAAGCCTACAGGAGTGAATTAGCCAGCTCAGAGAGGACGTCATAAGTACCACCAAGAATATTAGTACTGACCTTCCGGTTGAAAAAATGGATAGCCGCCTTGCCCACCTTCTCGAGGCCAAGCAGTCACTTCTCGCCCGCTGGAAAGCCCAGCGCCTCAATCGCAGGTTGCGCAAGAAAATCTCTGACTTAAACAAGACCATCGAGGAGCACTGTCGCGTCCTCTCCAAGCAGCAGTGGGACGAGATGTGCAACTCGGTAGATGGCCAGATGCGTAATGACAAGACATGGAACCTGCTGAAGCACCTGCTCAGCGAGACTAACACCAAAACTAACCAGCGGAACGTACTAGCGCGAGCCATGCACGAAGCCAAGCAGTCCTCTTCAGAAGAGGAGGTTTTGAAGCAGCTGGTGCAAAAGTACCTCCCTGTCGACTCGAACTCCGCAACAACGTACCGCGAGTGCTCAGGACCGGCCAACACTGAACTAGACGCCGAGATATGCTACGAAGAGGTTCGGCAGATGCTTTACGGGCTCAACGGGAGGTCTGCCGCGGGCCCCGACGGCATAACTAATAAGACCCTGCGCAACCTGGACGACCGGTCAATCGACTACCTCACCGAGGTCATCAACGAGGCATGGAAGAGCGGCGAGGTCCCCGACCCGTGGAAGGTCGCGCGCACCGTGCTCATTCCTAAGCCGGGGAGGTCACCCAACTTGGACAACATGCGCCCCATTTCGCTCACATCCTGCGTGGGAAAGGTAGCCGAGGATGTGGTCCTCAATAGGTTGACTCGGTACCTGGAAGACAATGGGCTTTACCCGTATGCCATGATTGGTTTTCGGGCCAAGCTTTTGACGCAAGACGCTATGAAGCTGCTCAAGCACCAAGTCATTGACTGCAACACTCGAGACATGCGAGCCATTCTCGGCCTCGACTTAGAGAAAGCCTTCGACAATGTTGCTCACTCTTTCGTGTTGCGGTCGATTGCTGAGCTTGGCCTTGGAGTCAGATTCTACAAATATGTCCAATCGTTCTTGACCCGTAGGAGAGCCACCCTCAGTGTGGGAGACCTTGTCTCCAAGGAGATCGAGCTGGGATCGCACGGCATGCCACAAGGGTCAGTGATATCGCCCACCCTGTTCAATCTTTTCATGGTCGGCTTGTCAGAGAGGCTCTCATGTATCGAAGGCATTAACCACACAATTTACGCGGACGATATTACCATTTGGTGCACAGGTGGCAGCGACGGGCAAGTCGAGCGCTCCCTGCAGGAGGCCATAGACACCACGGAAGATTACCTCCGTCCCACAGGCCTGAGGTGTTGCCCAAGCAAGTCCGAGCTTCTTCTTTACCACTAGGCGAGGGCCCAAGCCCAAAAACTGGCAGCCGATCTCGAAGAGTGATATCAAGCTCTACACCGGAGATGGCAGTGCAATACCCAGAGTTGACTCCATTCGGGTCCTCGGCATGACCATCGAGTCCAATGGTTCCAACGGCAAGACTACACTTAGGCTCGCCGCCAAGACGGATAACGCGGTTCGGCTGGTTCGGCGGGTGGCCAACCGCTAGCAAGGCCTCAAGGAAGACAAACCTAATCCGCCTGGTCAATGCCTTTGTGCTCTGCCACTTTTCATATGTCGCGGCCATGCACAATTGGCAGCGTGCCGAGCGTGACAAGATCAACGTCTTGCTCAGAAAGATTACCAAGCGGGCCCTCGGTATCCCAATCAGGACGCGCACCGAGCGCCTGCTCCAGCTCGGAGTACACAATACGTTGGAGGAGATTGCCGAAGCACAGGAGCGGGCCCAGCTCGCGCGCCTTTCGAGCTCCCAGACCGGCAGACACATACTCCGAGAGCTCGGTCACTCTCCGGCTGAAGTGGACGAGAAGATGAGACAGGTGCCCCGTGAGATTCGTGACCTCATCACCGTGGCACCGATACCGAGGAATGTCCATCCCGAGCACAATCGTGGTAGGTGACGGGCTAGAGCTGCCACTCTTCTCAAGCAGATTTGCAGTGAGGAGCATGGAGCCAGCTTTGTCGACGCGGCCGCGTACCGTGGGAGCCGCGCCTTCTCCGCAGTCATCGTCGACTCCAAACAACAAATAACCAACTGCGCATCGGTTCACACTGACGATCCGACGGTTGCCGAGCAAGTGGCCATCGCCCTGGCCATCCTGGAAGGTGAAAGGGAGGTCACTTATAGTGACTCTAGGTCAGCTATTCGCGCTTTCGAGCGCGGTGTAATCTCCAAGAAAGCCCTGCGCGTGCTCCAAAGTGGTGGCCGCGACGGCATCAAGCACCAAGTACTGATTTGGTTTCCTGCACATGTTGGACAGGTCCAAGGCGCTCCCCCCAACCTCAACGAGTCTGCCCACGAGGCCGCGCGCGCACTAACCGACCGCGCGGGTTCCGGGCAACAATTCGGGGCCAACGGGGTTGCGGAAACAGGGACGCGCCTGCCACGTACCACGAAATAACAAAATATTTTTACCTCGTGCGGAGACTATATCCACTCCCTGATCCAAATCTTGATAGGCCACAGGCCCTTACGCTCAGACTACTGCAGACCGACACGTACCCTAACCTGAGATCCCTTCACGCTATTTATCCTGACGTGTTTCCCAATGACGCTTGCCCCACATGTGGGGATGTATTCACGCTGGCGCACATGCTCTGGGAGTGCAAGGCAATGTACACTAACCCCAACACTACATCAGTCAGGTGGGAGGCGGCCCTACGCAGCTCCCTCCTGGCCGACCAACTTTGGGCCGTCCAGCAGGCCCGCGGAGCGGCCGATAGGCTTGGCCTAACGGTTCCGACGTGGGAGTCGCCCGCTGCGCGCTGACTCGCGCCTTGCAGGACTTCAATAAAGTTTCGCAACCAACCAACCCGCCCTTTGTAAATCGCTTCGATTGAACTTTCAGGCACAGGCATGAGCGATTCGCATGCCTGTGATCATGAATGCTGCATATCAATTTCTTTTGAAAGAAGGCTATGTTGCCGGGAAAAAATTAAGTGCGTCAAAGTATGAGAACAGTGAAAATAAGTGAACAGAGCACTAAACTTCAAACTAGACTCAAAGCACCGATTGCCATTAGACAGGGCTTGTCTGCAGGAAAATAACAGTGTTGTGCGAAGCGTTACAAGAGTTCCTAACCGAAAGTTTGAACGTGGGATATTGTGGAATGTGTTCTCGTCCGATTTGTAAAGCAAATGCCAATGGCGCACTAGTTTCAGTTTGTAAAATAAAATGCCTAAAGACCGCTTTTCATGCGTTTTCACTCGCTTTAAATGCCTAATTTGAAGCAATTCAATCATCGCAATAGAAAACAAATTGCGATGATATCCATCCAATCATCCGTGAGTAAAAAAAGTCCATCTGAAAACTTTTATCTATCTATCTATCTATCTATCTATCTATCTATCTATCTATCTATCTATCTATCTATCTATCTATCTATAATGTCAGCTGCGTCTGAGCACTGTCGTGGACGCTCGTTACCTTGATATAGCATATAAAAATGGTCACGGCGTGTCAACCCTGCCTGGCGAACTTAATTAACTTCATATACGGCTCCTAACATACATAACAACGTCGTACTTGTTTCTTTAGTCTCGAAGGCC